AACACGCCTCCTTCACCAGATCCCTTGGCTCTCGGGAAAAATGTTGTGAGTCTGAGCGACGAGAAGGAGAGAGAGAGAGAGAGAGAGAGTACCCAGCACGAGTGAAGAGGAAGGTCCCCCGCTCACCGACGGAGAGGATATTTTTCGCAGTTCCTGGACACAGCGAGAGAGAGAAGCAGGAGAAGCAGAGTTGCAGCGGAGGCATGAAGGTCTCGGGAGCCTCGTGCCTTCTCCTGGGCCTCCTGGTGACCCTCGCCCGCGCTCGTGAGTCCTCCCGCTCTCTCTGTATTGGCGGGCTCTGTCTGTCTCGCCGTCTGTTTCTCCGTCTGTCTGTTTGTCTCTGTCTCTATCTCTGTCTTTGCCTCTGTCTCTGTCTGTCTCTGTCTCTATCTCTGTCTTTGCCTCTGTCTCTGTCTGCCTGTTTGTCTCTGTCTCTATCTCTGTCTTTGTCTCTGTCTGTCTGTTTGCCTCTCTCTCTCTCTTTCTCTCTCTCTCTCTCTCTCTCTCTCTCTCTCTCTCTCTCTCTCTCTCTCTCTCTCTCTCTCTCTCTCTCTCTCTCTCTCTCTCTCTCTCTCTCTCTCCGTCTCCCCTTTTCTATACTAGTGGTTGGATTGGGGTTCTGGCAAGATTCCTGTGCTGGTATTCGTCTCCCCGTTGGCGCTGAGGCCCATGCAGGCTTTCACAGAGTTCCAAGGGCGTGTGAGCGTTGAGTGTTGCATTGTTGGTGAGTCCGCGTCCAAGACCAAAGTACTTCCGGGATGAACTCACTGGAAAGCATCGTTATTGTCTCCACGAAGACCATTTCGAAGCTGAGATTTGTGGAAGAGGTGTTAGAACTGCCGTATTTAGAATGATGGGTAGATAGTTAAGAGGAGAGAGTTAGTTAGCTTCTCATTTAAGATTTAAAATAGATAGGGCAAGTTTATGTTTGAATTAGCTAATAGATTCGACCTTGGATTGTGTCGAGATGTAAGTAGATACGAGATTTGCAACCGAATTTCCTCAAAGATTTTAAAAGTATTTTACTCAACGCAAAGCTAAAACTTACTTAAAAAAGAGGCCTTGAGAGTAATATACCATAACTTCTTTCCTTTTCAAAATTCCCTACACTTTTTAAATTCAAATTCAACTCCAAGGACGATGAGGTTGTTATCAGTTTCCAGGACATCAAAGACTGCCAGATAGATATAGAAAGTTCACACGCACGTGATAGAATCATGATCGTAAGTTATCTAGGAGGCGATAACGTGCCCCTTCGTGAGCGCTGTTGTTGTGTTGAATCTTCCTTCTGCGAAAATACATTTCCTCAAATATTCTTCTCTCTGCGGTCTTTTTGTTTGTTGTATGGGAAGTATACGTTGGATGGATGAATGGAGGAAGGGAGGGAGGGAAGGAGGGAGGGAGGGAGTGAAGTTCTTTCCTGTCGATTTTTATCTATCTTCTTTTCCCCCTCTTTTCTTTCCCTTTCTTTCTGTTAATTAGCCCGGGTTGATATAACAAAACTTATTCAGCTTCTTATTCGTCCACCGTCTGCCCTGTTTCTCTTTCATCTCTGTAATAAACCGAGAACTTCCTTTTCATGTCCTGTGGAGTGTGGAAAATAGCTCCTCGTACAATGAACAGAATTTCGTTCAGTGAATAGTTCCGAACAGTCTAATTCCGTGCGATGAATAGCTCTAAGCAGTCTAATTTCGTCCAGTGATCAGAGCTCTGACCAGGAATTTAGTCCAACGAACAGAGCTTTGAACAATAATGTCGTCCAGTGAACAGAACTCTGAACAGTCTAGTATCGTTTCATGAACAGAGCGTTAAACACGCTAGTTCCGTTTGATGAACCGAAATTTGAACAGACAAATTTCATCCAACGAAAAGAGATCCGAACAACCCTAAATTCACCCAATCTAATTTCATTCAATGGACAGAATTATGAACATTCTAAATCGCCTGGTGAACAGAGCTTTGAACAGTCACACACCCAACGAGGATGGTCATTGACACGGCAACGCTTAAAAAATGTAGATTGGAGGTTAGCCGAGATAGGTAATTAATTGTCCGTCCGCTCATATGTCCGGATAATTGATCATGTTGAACAGTTTTAATCGTTTATGTGGGGTATGTGTTGTTATCAGGTTCACGTCGGGTTGAAAGTTTGAGGAGAGAGTATATTGGAAATTATATGTAGGAGATAAAGAGTATGTTGGAGATTGAAGGTATTTTGGAGAAATGGGGTATGTTGGAGAAAGAAAGTATCTTGGAGAAAGTGATTCCTTTGGGAGAAAGAAATATGTTAGTGAAAGAGAGTATGTTGGGGAAAAAATATGTTAGTGAAAGAGAGTATGTTGGGGAAAAAAATATGTTAGTGAAAGAGAGTATGTTGGGGAAAAAAATATGTTAGTGAAAGAGAGTATGTTGGGGAAAAAATATGTTAGTGAAAGAGAGTATGTTAGTAAAGAAATATGTTAGTGAAAGAGAGTATGTTGGGGAAAGAAATATGGTGGAG